TAAATTCTAGCAAAAAAATTTTTTCTCTAAAGGGAAAGCAACAATAACACCATATAAGTGCTGAGGAGCACAAAAAATTACGGGTCTTAAGGGCAAAAACAATATAAGTCATTAAAAAAAAAATAAATTCAATGCGATTGGTTTAGGTGGTTACACCAATGTGCATAAGAATAGTGGGTCGGTGAAAATGTAGAAAATGAGCATAACGCTTGAGGTGTATTATTGTGGTACGCAGGGTGCGATGATAGCCTGTGTTTTTCGTTTTATGCTTGTGCACTCGTCACCACGAGGGGGACACGAAATATAATAAGTAAGAATACACTATATGGCACGAGGAACGAATCGCAAAAGTGAAGAGAAGTGAGTCCTGGTCAGGATACAAAAAAAAAAAAAGGTCTCACCACCTCCATTTCTGCCAGCTGTGTACCACCTCTCATAACAGTGTGCTTTTTTTTTTTTTTTTTTTTTAAGTTATACTAATCATGTTAAAGAACAAATTGGGCACAATGTTCCGATGCGCCATATGCACATCGCAATGGATCACCTTTGCATGTGAAGACGTACGAAATTAAAGAAGTGAGAAATAGGCGCGTAAGTGTATTTATGTCCATTGCTGTGTTACGAGCTGAGGGTAAAATAGGAGGCCACAATAATATTTTTTTGTTTCATATTTCCCCCCTACACACACATTTAATATATGCTTAATTATCATTCATGAACGACTGGTGAGGAACACAAGTCGATATTTTTATGTCTATCATTTTTTTATGCATACATTCGGTGTGTGAGTATGTGTTGCGCTTCTTAAGCCGTCCTAAAATTGGCACATCTTGTTTAACAGGATAATGTTTTAAAAATGTTTCTGTTCTGTGCTCAAGCAATTTGGTGCGGGTCATTGTTAAGAGCAAAAAATATCCCAAAATGTGTACACATCAGGGCGCAGACACACAGCACAATATTCAGTGTTGCCGCATAAATGGTAAGACACCTCCTCAAATGGTTACCAAAAAAAAAAAAAATTGCACCAGTTTTTTCAGCCGTTCTAAGTGGTTGCTTTATTACCAACAGGAAAAAAAAAAAAAAAAAAAAAGACCGACAGGGAATTAATGCACGTTTGTGCTTCCCCCATTTGACTAATTTGTTCCCTCCAAAACGAAAAATTGTGAAAAAGGGGGACATACCCTAAATTACGACACAGTCTGTGTGCATACGAATGCGGTCCAAAGCGCAGCTCGCCGAAGTTCTCGCCATGCACACGTGCCCAGTTGACAAAATAGGAACCGAAAAAAAAAAAAAATAAAATATATATAAATCACTGAATTGTTCACACACAAGTATATAATTGAAGTAATCCTCCCCTAGATGTGCTAACCCTTGTCACTACACATGTGAAAAGTTGAAAAAAGAAACAGACGCAGATGGCTCAGCACGAGCACATCGGAGTCACTAAATGGAGGAACAAATATAACTTGAAGGAAAAGAAAAAGGCACGAAAAAAATATAAATTCTAGCAAAAAAATTTTTTCTCTAAAGGGAAAGCAACAATAACACCATATAAGTGCTGAGGAGCACAAAAAATTACGGGTCTTAAGGGCAAAAACAATATAAGTCATTAAAAAAAAAATAAATTCAATGCGATTGGTTTAGGTGGTTACACCAATGTGCATAAGAATAGTGGGTCGGTGAAAATGTAGAAAATGAGCATAACGCTTGAGGTGTATTATTGTGGTACGCAGGGTGCGATGATAGCCTGTGTTTTTCGTTTTATGCTTGTGCACTCGTCACCACGAGGGGGACACGAAATATAATAAGTAAGAATACACTATATGGCACGAGGAACGAATCGCAAAAGTGAAGAGAAGTGAGTCCTGGTCAGGATACAAAAAAAAAAA